TGATGGGACAGTGAGAAAGTTTTGTATAGCAAAAATAAAGGTAGATACTCCATATTATGTAGGAGACCTTGAGGCCATGTGTATTGAGGAACCAATACACAACTTGGTGATAGGAAACATACCAGGAAGTAGAAATTTGGAGGAACTAGACAGAAAAAAGATTGATGAAGCATCTACTCTCACTACCAGAGCTCAAGAAAAGAAGAGCAAACAAGACATCAAGTCCCTACATGTGTCAAAAGGCAACATCCTGAATTTAGGTTTGCAGGAACTGAAGGAAGCACAGAAGAAAGACCCTTTAATGCAGAAACTTTGGGACAATGCCTGGGAGAAAGTCGAGCACAAAACAAAGGGGAAAGATACTTATAGAACATAGTTATACTGGGGAAGTTAAACAGGTCATAGTACCAACAGAATACAGGACTCAAGTGATGAAGTTGGCTCATGAATCAATTGTGGGAGGACACCTAGGAACAAAGAAAACAGCAGACAGAATCACCAGTAACTTCTATTGGCCGGGAGTTATTGAAGATGCGAGTAGATTCCACAGGTCATGTGACATATGCCAAAGTACAATACCTAAAGGGAAGGTAGCCAAAGTGCCATTGAGCAGAGTAGCTGTGGACTTGATTGGCCCACTAGTGCCCATGTCTGACAAGGGCAACCAGTAGGTGCTGACAGTAGTTGACTATGCAACACGTTATATGGAAGCAATAGTACTGGTGAAGATAGAGACAAAGAGAGTAGCAGAAGTCCTCCTGTAGAGAAATCCTGGGTGACAAAGGGATCCAGTTTACTTCAAAACTGGTGCAGGAAGTATGCAGACTCATCAGTACTTGGCAACTCTTTACCACCCCATACAATCCTAAATGTAATGGACATTTTGAGAGAGTTGATGCATTTTTAAAGAGCATGCTAAAGAAAATGTGCCAAGAGATCCCACATGACTGAGACAGGTACTTGCAAGCAGTATTCACTTATCGAGAAGTCCCACAAGCAAGTACAGGATTTTCACCCTTTGAGTTACTGTATGGAAGAACAGTACGAGGTTCGATGCAAATATTGAAAGAGCTATGAACGGAAGAAGAGTCGGAAGTAAGGAACAAATACCAGTACGTGTTATACCACAGAAACTGACTGGAGGAAACCTGTCAACTTACTCAACAGAGTATGTATGCAGCTCATGGTGGTCAGAAGCATTTCTATGACAAGAATCGATGTTTCAAGGTTGGGCAAAAGGTCCTAGTTCTGCTGCCCACAGATCACAACAAACTCACCCTGCAGTGGAATGGACCTTTTGAAGTACAGGAACTCCTCAATAGAATGGACTACAAGGTGAATGTGAACACCAAGATCTACAATGCCAATCTGTTGAAGAAGTATTTTGGGAGAGAAGAAGACCTAACGGATGCAGCTTTTGAAACAAAGATGGATGTTGCAGGTGTGGTTGTTATAGATGTAGAACCAGAAAACAGCGACTTTGTCTAAGAAGACAAGTCCTACTAAACCTAAGAACACTGAGTATAAGAACACTGCTATTTTGAGATTTATGGGTGACAGTGACGATTCTGTAGGCTTATGCGTTTGAGAACATGATCGTCAACTGTTGTGGAAGCTTTCTTCCCTACTCCTTCCCCTCCACACAGCCATTCTCTCTGGTTAAATTTAATTATCCTAGCTATCTGCCTTGTCGATAGTCCATTTTTAGTCAAATAAACAATAATTGCTTTTTTTTTGTTTAGAATTATCTCGCAATTCTTGGCCATAGTAGCATCACGCGCACCTTGTAGTAGATAGGCTTCGAAACTTATTCTCAATAAGAACCTCTATTTATAGCCAAAAACGGCTGATGTAATACCTAGACTGCCTGTAAAGCTGCTGATATAATAATTAGACAGTACTGAGTCATCTATGAAACACATTTGCACCTTCATGCGTTAGGGCCTCAAAAATTCCAAAGTGTGAAAACATTGGGGGATGAAGTACATTTTTTCATCACTGTAAACGACATATGACGTGAGGCTGTTTTTGATCAGTTATATCTCCAAGTAAAGTGATAAATATATTTGTGTATAAACAAATAACTTTTCTATCTTTTAAAAAGTTTTTTGTAGCTTGCAATTAATATAGATCATACTGCATGGTTTATTCATATATTAATATACTTTTAATCTTTATTAACGTTAATAATACAGAATACTCCAAGAATGGTGATACTTTTGTTATTCCACAAATTGATGCTCGAAAACAGTTGATTTTTGTTTCCGCATACTGAAGAACATTTAGTTAATTTTAAAACTAAATTCATGAAATTAATCTCTG